ACCCGAACGAATACTGCAAACAAAGGAAGAAAGAGTAACAAGGTCTAATGAGTTAGTTGCTTACCCGCATGCAGGACTTCACCAAAGGAAACAATACTATCTGATAATCATTGGAGGAAACAAGTCCAAGCTTTAGCTCCAATTGCTGCATCCCAGTAACAATCCGCATCATTCGCGCGTCGATTCTGCTAAGCTGAGATAGCACACGTACAGAGAATATTTATTGGACAAAGGCAGTTATTAATTATCTCAGTCGTGTTGCCTAAAGATACAAAAGGTTACCTCTGCAGACAAGTGCTCTTTTTGTTTCTGGATCGCAATCTCTATGAAACTGTCAGCCTCATTAAAGGAATCTTTCATCCCCCATTCATCAGCTTCACCCAATTCCAGATCACGTAGCTGAGAACTCGTGCTGGCATATGATTCCTCATATCCAAATTGATTGTGGTTAAGAGAGTCTGCATCTTTCAAAACATTTGTTATAGCATCAAACTCAAACCTACTACTGATAAACATCAACTCATGGTCACTCTCATTTAGCTCTTCTCTTCGTTTTCTCAGCACGGATTCATAGCTTTCATGGGTAAACTCTGCTGAAGTATCCCTCTTCCGGCCTTCTTCAAGACAAAGGTCCTCAACAGTCTGCAATGCTCCCTCATAGCTTAAGTGCTCGCATTTTCTCTCGCAGAGGTTCTGCAAGTGACAGAACTCCTTCTCAAGAATCTGCATGATCTCCAGTCCTTGATTTGTTTTCTCTTCCTTGGTGCGCATCCACGACACAATATGTTCCCCACTAGAGGATCCTGCGAAGATCCATGAAAGAAATCCATTCACWCCAYAAGASACATTATTGCCATTAGCAATATCTCCAGAARTTGCTATAGCTCCATTTTTCAATGCTGYTCCCYTATACTTCTCTTGGATGCACTCAGTGCCAAGCAACTTTTCATCTAGAAGAAGACATGAATCTTCACCATCAAAAAGAATCTCCTCTGTAACTTCAAGACCCAGGTCGCCAAAATTAATTTCATCGTTGGGGTTAGTTTGTTCAGAATATCGACTCAATCCACAGGCCTGTGACAAATCTTGCAGAAACTTGAGAATTTTTCTAAGCTGGGTAGCTCCCAAAAAGCAAATGCATATGGGTGACTGCCCCAAACCACGATTTAAGAACTGTGAAACCGAGGCTAGATTCTGGAGTTCATTCAGCGTAAATTGTATCACCTTATCATGATGGCTGGCAGCTAAATATTTGTGTCTGATAAGTAGCTCAAAGGCTGCACGGATTTTTTCAAGGAGCTTTGCGCGTTCAGGATCATCAGATATCGGCCATTCATCAGGAAGATGAAATGTAATTGGCATCTTAACCTCTTCAGACTCATTCTCATCACAACCGTTGCAAGCATCTCCAAGATTTTCTTTCTCTGGTGAAGTATCATTCCATGCATCCTTGAAGCAGTCGTCACCATCTTCCATAATATCCCCAGAGTGAAACCCATTAAACTCAGTATTATGGATTTTCTGCTGACTGCGAAGCAGCTTCACCACAGCAGAGAGATCCAATGGTATCCATGGGGTACTAAGAAGCATCTCAGTCCTCTCACTGTCGATACTTTGAGGCAAAACCATTTGCATCCTAGGTAACACGTCACCCATGTGCTCATGCACAATATGCTGCATATGAGCCTCAGAATCCAAGAACTTTTCACTGCACCGACAACAAGCCCAGAACCTCCAAGTTTTATTAGCTTCATGAAAGGACAAAGCTTCACTTATAATATCATTTGCATTGTCATCCTTTGATGCACTAAAGTGACTCTTAAGATCACAAACCTTAACTCTAAGCAATTCTTTCTTCATTTCTTTTCTCATAGAATCCCAATATGACCTAACCCGATCCCTTCTCTCGGCCGTGGAGCCATTTTTCCTTGCATTTCCATGCCTTCTCCTCTCCCCACTTCTCTGCCATGTGCCTAATGTTGGATCTGATCCCTTGTCGTTAACGTTTCCAACATTATCTGATACGGAAGATTCTGACTTCTGCTGCATTAACCTAGCTGCAGCTACCTGCACTTCAATCTCCTTCCTCTTCTCTTCAAGAGTCTTAGTAGCTTTCTTAATCTCATTGGGCCTCCTGGTCTGAATCAGGTTACTCTCAATAGGATCCTCAACCGTTCTCCTAAAGGGAATTATCCGAAATTTCTCTTCACCATTTCCCAAGTTTTTCATCCAAGAGGACAACGAAGAAAGGTTGGATTTCTGTATGAGTGACCTGAGCTCATCCTGAACATGAGCGATACGAGCCTCAGGTGTCAAAATCTTCTGCTGAGTCTCATCCTGCAGACTCTCTTTAGCAGGATCAATGGGGTTTTCAATGGAGAGAGCACGGTGGCACTCTTTCACAACCTCTTCAAACTCTATCCCATCTCTCCCATCAATGGCAGCATCATAAAGCAGGTTGGCACAAAAATGCCCAAACTCAATCGAGTTCGGAGAGAGTTCCACAGCTTTTCTAGCAGATTCAATTGCATTACTGAGATACCTGTGTTTCGTAGCTAGATTTTCAAAGACAGAAGCAACCTTAACATACAGAGTTCCCTGAACACGGTGGATTAGGGCAGAGTTTTGGTGGCGAGAGCACGATTCCTTCATGAGCCGAATCGCCTTATTGTAGCTCCCTCGCTGGAATGAGGCCAGTGCTTTCTCGCACTCAAGCTTGACCACAGGCGAATCCAACGGCTCGGCATTAGCATCCGGTCCGGAAAATCCGCCCTCATGGTCGCTACAAGCGGAAATCTCAGACGACGGCTCAGCCTCTGCCACCGTCACCGCCGCAGCAGAAGACGGCGACTGATTGGAGCGAGGCGCAGGGGGTTTCTTCTTCTGACCCATCTACGATTTAGCTAGAAACGAATTTAATCGGCATGAAGGATATACACAGAGATATATGTACCGTCCACCAAATGCAAAGATGGTCAAATCGGAAATTAGATTTCAGTCAACATAAGGAGTCGTCTCAAGGATTCCGGCGTCGTAACACGGCGGAGGATCGGCGGAGAAAGTTGGTGAGGAGATAGCGAAAGAGAATAGAAGAAGACTCGTGTGTGGAGTGCGAAGCCGGAGGAGAAAACCACTGAACCGAGAAAGAAAAATATGAGAAATGGGATTTTACTCTAATATATTCACTTTATATATGGGATTCGACCCTAGTTTGTGTTTCTTCCCCAAAAAAAAACAAATTATGGATTCGACCCCAATATTCGTTTTTTTTCTCTAATGAGTCCTTTTATCATTCTTTTGGTTTAAGTTATTTATTTTAAAATGTTGTTAATAATACTATATTAGGTTTTTTATCCGTGTTAAGCGCGTAAAATAAATCGTATTTTCAAATTTTTATTAATAACGTTCTAGAAATTTTCAGATTTTAAATATTTTTAATTAGTTTATTATATGAAAACATATAATTTTTTTAATGAATTGATGATTGTATTTATATTATATAAAATTTTATCGAATTCGTCTCAATATTTCTTTTCGTTCCATCTTTAAGTTGATTGAAAATATCGAAAACATAAAAATAACAAAACATATTAACCACAAAATTAATTGTGAATTTATGATAGAATTTGTAGTTCTTCCACATTTAATTTGTTTTATAGCTTTCAAAACAGAAAATTTTAAAAAATATTTCAGTTATCTTTACTCGATCGTTAAAAGCTAAAGAATGTTAAAAATCAATTCAATTAATTTGAGACTTCTAGAATTTTGATCAACGTTTATAAACAAAACATCAGCTTCGTAGAAAATTTGCAACTTTCACTATTTGTCCACATTTGCTTACATACATTTAAACCTAAAAATTATTGATGATTATTAGTGAATCATATACACATAAAATCTCTCTAGCACATGGTTTTCTTTAATATTACTCCATTTTTAATGTTACCCCATCTTTGTTTTCCTCTTGAGCTTGGAATGAGTTCTCATGGCCCTTTCTATTTTTATTTGGTAACAAATCCATGTAGTCTATGATTCAAATACTTAAAAATATGCGAGACTAAATCCATTGACTTTTTTTTTGTTAAATCTAAATTCTAAAATTTGTTACTTTGAAAAACATTCAAACCCCACAAGAACTAAACACAAAAAGCATCATGCTATTACTTACACTAA